GAATCTAATGTTTGTGAAGAATATATGAAAAAAGTATTTCATAATAAAAACTCTTAGGAAGAAAGCAAACGTATATATATATATATAAAAAAGGAAAAATACATATCCTTCTGGTACTGTAAAAATACTAACCAAAGCATTTACACTGGTGTAGGACCTTCCGTGCTTTCCACATTTCAATCTCTTCATGAAATGGCGTAACCCTCACAGGTTGTTGTCTTCTGTCGGCCTCTGCTTCATCTTCCGCACTCTTATGAAAGCTCTGATGGCCAACACGGCGCTTACGGGGAATATAATAATCCCCAGAACACCAAACAAGCCTCAGAAGTTAAAGGTGATGTGTGATTTTTTTTTTTTATGTTATAACACCTCCTCTCCAAGCTCAACTTCTAGCAAGCCATTCATAGGTTCATTCCTAAAAAAAAAAAAAAGTAAACATTATGGATTCATCAAAACATCTGTGTGTGCTTTTGTTTAACATGGCAACCCGTGTCAACCAATGGTGTAAGCTTAGGGGCGGGGGCTAACTGTTTGTCTAACCAATGACAGATGAGGGAAGTGTTCAATAAACTTGACTGAAAACTGATAATTTCTGCACTTCCATTTAGTAGAAAATGACACACATCACCTTTAACGACTTGGTATGTTTCTGCTTTCCCAAGTTCTGACTCCACCACCCAGGGAGGTTATCACAAACGTGCTTCATCCTTTTTTTTTTTTTTTGTTTAAATCTGACTGCACAAGGAAAGCACTTAAGCCTTTGTAAATCTGCGCAGTGTGAGAGTGGCTGTTAGCGCATGAAGCGTGTGATTGTGGTTTTACCCTGAGAGAGATGAAACCTGCTTTTGAATGCAAAAACGCATCTTTATCTGGCGTATTCATTGACATTTTTGCACATAATCACGGTTCGTTCCGGACAGACGTGGATCGAGACGAAGTTCCTGTTGTTGACATGTGACCAAAGCTTGATCTTGTCATCATTTATGTACATTTTGTTTTTAAGAGATGCTTTAATATTTCCTCGATACCGACCCGAGTTACTGTGGTTCACTCCAGCACAGATGACAAGCAACAAGCCTAAGAAGAATTCCATGGCCTGACAGATGCCTACAGGACAAGAACATATGCACATTAAAATAGATTTCAGAAATGTAAAATATTGTTCAGCATAGGTCACACAAGACTGACTTAAAGGTTGAAGGCCCTACTGCATTCTGACTTATTTACGCTGCTAAGGAGTTGGATTTTCATGCTAAACATGACCAAAGTCTCAAAAAACGAGTTGGACGTATGACGGAGTATTTCTGTGGCAAAGACACTGCTTCAGGGTTTGTATAAGTTTCGGGTCGCATAGGTCATACAAGACTGACTCATGCATTTTTGCTTAAAGGTGAAGGCCCTACTCAATGCATGTTTTGCAAGATTCCCCTTTCTGTCAAACATATTTTATTGGACTGTCCAGCTTTTAATGTATGCAGAAAACTCTTTTATTAAGCAAGTTTAGTATAATTTTGCCAGAAAATCTTTTGCCAGATTTTAGAATTTTTATCATACGTTAATGTAAAAAATCTTGCGTAATATAACTTGTGTTTGTTTGCTGGTTTTTATTGTATTTGTTAAGCTTGATCTTGTCATCATTTATGTACATTTTGTTTTTAAGAGATGCTTTAATATTTCCTCTCAATGCCAAGAAGCTGAGGTTTATTTTTGTACTTCATTGTTTCATGCAGATTTATAGGTCCTCCAGTGCAGAATCTAGGATTTAAGGGTTCTAAGGTAAACTGTCACCCATCAAGGTACTCTCTTTGAAGATACTAACTATTCATGTATTTAATGTGAGAAGCATGCCCTATATAAATGAATATAAATCATCTTGCGTAATATAACTTGTGTTTGTTTGCTGGTTTTTATTGTATTTGTTATACTTGTATTTTTTTTATGAAAATAGCCTACGGTACATTCACACGGGGCGTCAGCGTCGACGCTTGACGGAGGGCGTTTCTGAAGCTTGGTGGTGACGCGACCGTCATAGTGACAACAGCCAATCACATTAGTTTTCTGGTGTTGCATGAACACGATTGGCTAGCGTCTGCACCATGGTATTTGCATAAGGCGATCTGATTGGCTGACGCCTGCATTGGCACTTGAAAAGTTGAAACCTCGATGCAACAGACTCACAATTCAGTTCGGCAATGCTTGACGTCACTCCATTCAAAGTAAACGAGAAGCGTTGACGCTGACGCCCCGTGTGAATGGGGCTTAAAGATGCTGACATGGCATTAAATAAATATATACTACTACTACTACTACAACAATATTGTTCACAAAGTTGGGATCAGAAAGATTGTTTAATAATTAAACTATTTAATAATAATTAATACTTTTATCAAAACTGACTATAAATACATTTATAATGCGCATTTTGTTAGCAAAGCCGGTTCTGTAATCAGCAGG